TCGCCGCTGCCGCTCAGCAGCGGGATGCGCTCCGCCACCATCAACTCGCGGCACGACAGCAGCGCCATGCCCGGCAGCTCCGCCATGGCAACGATGGTGTTTGTCGTGCCGCGTACCTGGTGCAGCTGGAAGACAAATGTCGTGTTACGGATGTCGGCCACTGTGACTTCGTCACGGCTGAGCTGGTCGTAGCGGAAGCGGATGTCGAGCGGCTCATCGAGGGAGTGGAATGTCGAAGACAACATCGTATCGTACGACTGCAGCCCGTCCAGAGAGAAGAAGAGCGTGACGGCGGCACCAGTGGATTCACCTATGCCAAGTGCGCGCAGTAAGCCTGCGTCGCTCTCTATGTCGCGTATGTTGAACGTGATAAGGCCGTTCTGCATGGCTTCGCCATCGGCGGCTGCTGCACGCGTCTTGGCTGCTCGATACGTCTCGAGCTGCTGTTTCGCGAAGACGGTCTGCACGTGCGTGAGCCTCCGCCGCATTTCTATGTTCTCCTCCAGAAGATCATCGCGCTCCTGCGTGAGCTGCTGGAGGAGCGCGCGGCCCTGTTCGGCCTGCTCGCTCATCTGTGTGCAGCGCGTGTTGGCGAGCTCCATGTCGAGCGCGGCACTCGCAAGGGCCTCGCGCAGCTGGTCCGCCTCCCAGCCGTCATCCCAGCGCATCGCGTCCCACATCTCCAGCGCCTCCTCCGCCTCCCCACTCGGCGGTTTTGCTGCTCCCCTTGCGGATGATGTCTTGCGTATCGCCGCCACCGCCAGTGCGCGACGGACCGCGTCGTCCCCGAAGTCCTCGACGGCGTGGCCTGCAGCCGCGGCGCGCGCCGAAAACTCCGCCCGCTCCTCCTCCAATTTTTGAAGCCGCTCGCGGTACATCGCAGTGTCCTCACCGGCCAACTCAAGCTTCCGCCGCAGTTCTGCCAATTGGTGCTGCGCGTCCAGCAGCTGTGACTCCTTCTCGCGGCGGCGCGACTCCGCATTATCACGCATCTCCTGCAGATCAGCAATGCGTGAGGCGAACTCACGTCGAACCGCCTCCTCCGTCTCACGGTTGCAGCTCTGCAGCGTCCCTGCTGTTCGCAAAAGCTCTTGTTCCATTCGCACGAGTTCCTCACTCTTGTGCTGCAGAGTCCCCTCCAGCTCATCTACCCGTGCACAGCGCACCTGCAGCAAACTTTTCTCGTGCTCGGCGTCAAAGAGTTGCCGCTTCGTCTCAGCATGCATTGAATGAAAGTGCTTGAGTTCCTCCACCAGGCGGGCGCATTCTCCCTTAAGAGTCTCCGCCTGCTGTTGCGCCCCCTGCACGCGGCTCGTTAATAGGGTGATTTGCTTCGACTTGTCCTGCACCTCATTCTGCAGCTGAATGAGGCCCATGGGATCCACAGCAGTCAACTCCTGTGGTCGTTCAGCATTCTCTTGCCGCAGGAGACGCACATTCAACGCAAGTGCATCCCTTTCCCGTGTTAGAACATCGATGGCCTTCTGGTACTCGGTCTCTGACTGTCGCCGCATACCTTCGGCAGTGGAGGCCCTTTCATTGAGGACGTCGTAGGAGTGTTTCTCAAACGAACGGTGTTGCTGCTGCGCAAGCTGGAGGCTTTCCAGCTCAGTGCGTGTGCGGGCTAAATTTTCGCGCATCGCATCCCCCTCCGCGCTCAGCCTCTCCCGCTCAGCCACCGCACGCGCAAGATCCTGGCGCAGTTGTTCCAACACAAGCGTCACTGCTGGTGATGCCGACGCAGAGGTCATTGACTGCGCCCCAGCGCGCAAAGAGGCGATCTCCAGTTGTGCCCGCTGCAGCGCCTCGCGGCAGCGTTGCAGCTCCTCAGACTCGGTGGTATGCGACGGGGCGCTGGTATTATCTGGTGCCGCCAATTGAGGCGACGACAGCGCGAGTGGCCGCTTGGCCGATGTGGTGGTGCCCACTAGACCTCGTGTAGACGAGACCGCACCGCTAGATGCGGGCCGCACGGTTGGCAGTGAGGCGGACGCCACGTCATCTACCTGCAGCAGCAACTGCGGCGACACACGCTTCAGGTCGCTCGTAAGCTTGAGGAACTTTACCTGGACGTGTTTGAGCTTATCCCGCAGCTCCCGCACTTCATGCTTGAGCTGATGGTTCTCCTGCAGCGCCCGCTGAAGGCGGTCCTCCCGGGCCGCTGCCAACTGCGCCTCGCTTGTGCGACGCATATGGGTCGTCTCTATTCTCTCCGTGCGGTACTGCTGTGTTCGCCCTGCAACCCCTCTCCCCTTCTCTCCCCCTTTCCTTTTCTTCTCTGTCCATGGGTTTGTATATATATATATATATATATACAGCAGAAAAGAAAGCAAAAACAGGGAGGGGAAAAAAAGGCACATCCTGCACACACACGCACACACACAGAGAGAGAGAGAGAGCCCCAGGGACCCAAAGTCAACCCGCACGCCAGCACACCCACGCAGAGGCCGAGAAACACTCTGCCGTGGGGGCGCACCGACTCTCCCACTGTTATATATAAATGTCTGTACTCGGCGCCTCACACAAATCCCGGGAAAGAATGAACGCGCCAGCTACGCGCCCGCGCCGCTCATTGGTGGGCGCTGTGTTGGGTGCGCGCGTATGGGTCGATGCCTGCGGCCCACGCAACGTTCTCCTGTCTCCTGCGCGCCCGCTCACGCTCGTGATCGGCCTGCTCGCGCGCAATACGCTCGGCGTGCTTGCGTGCCTCCTCACGGAACAGTGCGGCGTTGGCGCGCTCCTCCGCGGTGCCGTGCTTCCGCCCGCTACCGTCCTCCATCTCCGCGTAGGCGACGGAGATTGGCCGGTCGCGGTAGATCTTCTGGTCCATCTCGTCAATCACCTTGTCGCTCGACGCGAAGTCGTCGTAGGAGAGAATTACAACGCCGCGGAAGTTCCCCTCGAAGTCGCGTGCCATGCGCGGCGGCACGGCAAACTTGCCGAACTGCTCGAAGAAGGAAGTGAGCTCGAACTCCGTGACGTTGAGGTCGACGCCGCGCACCACCACCTTGGCGCCGATCTCGTGCAGCTCGTGCACCGCGTGGCGGTTCTGCACGCGCACGCCGCTCTCCTTCAGCGGTATGTCGGTGCTGGCGTGCGACACGCGCAGCTCCTTACCGAAGAGCTTCGCACGGCTGCGGTGGAGCGCCTCGTAGCAGTACTTCGCGTCCTCGGCGTTGCGGAAGTCGACGAAGCAAAACGTCATGTGCTGCGCGCCGCCCGCGAGATTGCCGGTGGTGGGCCACGTGATTTTCGCAACGGGGCCGAACTGTGTGCAGAGCTCGTGGATGATGTCCTCGTCGCACTGCTCCGAAAGGTCGCTGAAGAACACGCGGCGAAGATCCTCCCGCTTGAAGGTCGACATTGCCCCAGCCACAACACACCACAGCAGCAGCAACGACACACTCACACTACGCCCGCCCTCGGAATCCGGTGGGCCGGAGACACATACGCGCAAAAAGAGAGAGGGAGAACAAGAGAAAGAAAACAAAAAAGGGTATGGGACGGAAAAATGGTCATGGACAGTCACACGGCCACAGGGATCTACACGAAGCCATAGCAGTGGGTGCACATCAGAATCCGCAAAAGCGAAACACAGCATTGCAGCGAGGCATCATAGATGGTTGCGGTGCAGCAGCCAAATGCGGAGCAAGAGAGAACGGGCCCACCACCACCACCACCACCACCACCCCCCACACACAGCAGGTTTCATACATAAAAGGGCGTTGGTGGGGCTTTCAGGTTGTGCAGAATGCGGCTGTGCACGGCCTCAGCGGAGCGCACCTCGGTGGCTAGGTGGTCACTGCTCACCTCCGGGTAGCGGCAGTGATACTGCCACGCCTGCTGCGGCTGCACATCCACGAAGATGGCGCTCGCCACCTGTCGGCTGCGCCAGAATGCCGTCTCACTAAATCCCGACTGAGACATGATAGAATGTGACGCGAGGCCCAGCAAGTAGTAATTTAAAAGGACCTGGAAGTATGCATGCTCCCTAGTGACCTCGGCGCTGTCATCGTGCCCGGCAGCACCGGAGTCGGCGATATTCATCGTGTCGATGTGACGAAAGGAGTCGCCGGCAACGCTGATAACGCGAACACTGCTGTTGTCGCCCAAGACGCGCGCCGCCTCGCTTACAAAGCGGGCTGAGTCAGAGGACACGAACAGCACCGGTGAGTCGCCGCGGCGCAGCAGGTCGCGCAGCAGGTAGTTGGCGGGAAAAAGTTCGGGGAAGCGCCGCCACGCCTCGCCTGTCAGCACCTCGCGCGTCATGGCGTAGTAGTGGGGCAGCGCACACGGGAACGTGCGGACGGTTTCGGCCACGTCGAGCCCCGTCGCCCACGCGCCGGCCATGCGCACCTGCAGCGACACGAACGGGAACACTTGCCCTGGTGCCGGCCGCCGCACACCGTCGAGGGACGCCACTAGCGCGCGGTTCTGTGACTCACGCAAGAGCTCCGCCGCCGCACCCCACAGGCGCCCATCCGGCTGTAGCAGAATGTGGCTAAGGCAGCCGTAATAGCATGAGATGTTGCAATGCTCGAGGTTGAGCACTCGCATCTTTACGTTGAACAAGTCGTTGTCCTTGTACAAGAAGCCATCGACGCCCACAGAGTTGCACTGCACTCGTAGGTCCCGCACAGCGTACTGCGGGCTCCACCACTCCTCGCTGCCTGTAGCGGGCTGCTGTGAGACCCATCTGTTGGCTTTCCGTTGCCGCACGATATAATCCTTGGTGCGGCGAATGCTCATCAGCCGAAAATCCACAGGCGCATCACTTATAAGGGGGGAAAGCGATTCGCGGAACGTCTTGGGCGAGCTCCGGTCAATACTCGCCTGCAGCCGAGATACATTGTTGCGCAAAGAGGGAATATAGTTTAGGAGATGTGGAGGCATGTACTTCTGCAGTGGAACTGGCGTGGGGTGATACAATTCGAATCGCCGACGTGACAAGAGAGCGAGCCAGAACGCTGTGATCATCCCACGAGTGCGGTCGCCCATGCCGCCACACGCGTAGCCTCGTCTGTGGCTCTCGCAGGAGTAAATGAGACGTGCTGTGCGGTGATCTTCGGGGGAATAGTAGTGCACAAGCAAGTACTTCTGTAGGTAGTCCAAGAACGGGCGGCCAAGGGCCTTGCACTGTGGGATCGACTCTATTCGGCGGCGCAGCGACTCATTAAAGCCCACACTGCCAGGAGAGAGACCAGCGAATTGCGTGTGCAGAATCTCTTCCTGTGCTGCAGCCCGATCCCACAGTTTCTCCTCATCCTGCACCATCCTGCTAACGCCATCACGCGACTTCGCCGTCTGAATCGGCACCGCCGCCACCCTATCGGTGTTGTTGTCGTCCACATTCAGTCTGAACAACAGTATAAACGAACAACAAAACAGCAGCAAAGCACAGCGTAGGAAACCCCTGTGGTGCCTCGGCGTCAGATGCTGGGGCTGCATAGGCGCATCCCATACTCCATGTTTTGCCTGGTTGCAGACTGCCATGGCCTTTCTTGTCCACCTATTTATGCACAAGCCGTACTTGTATTGTGTCCGTGTGTGTGTGTGTGTGTTTGTGTCCTTGATGAGACGGGTAGTTGCCTTTGCACGGTGAGGGCCACCACACACACACCCGCTACAGGAGAGGCACTAAATGGGAGAGAGAAGGTGGTGGATACGCAACACCTCCACAGTGTTTGCCTCCCGCAACGGCAGAATGCCAACATGAGACAGCAGTGGGGCGTAATTCTTTTTTGTTGTTGTTGTTAATGGAGTAAGATAGATCCCGTCTGTGCAAGGAGAGGGGGCAGTCCCACAAGCGCCACCGCTGTGGCGCCTCAGATCGACTCGAGTGTGTCCAGCACAAGGTTCAGATCGTTCGGCTCGTAGCGCGAGAGCGATGGCAACAGTACAACAGCCTCCTCCACTGTTCTCGGCCGCAGCGTCGCCAGTGCCACCACCTCAAACGGCTTCATACGGGCCGTCCTGAGAACGTCATGCTCTTCGTCGCCCCCTGCCGGCTCCCGCACACCCGTCACGTTCCCCTCGCTATCGAGGACGAAGTTCGTCAGGTGTGCGTTCGCGAAGCCCGAGTCGCTCTCGTCCCGCAGACGCAGCTTCATCTTTTTTACACGCTGCACGCTCTGCTCATCGGCGCAGGTCTCCTGCATCACCTCCACTCGCTCGCGCGTGCGCTCAATGAGGGACATGGCGGGGGCGTCAAGTTCCGCCGCGTCACTGGCGTCGCGGCGGCCGCGCAGGAGCTGCACGACGACCGGCAGCGTGAGCGGCTCCGCCTGGTTGAAGACAACACCGAGGTCCCCCTCCACGTAGTTCTCCCCACTCATTTTCTACAGTGTAGACGCACACACACACACACACACACACACAC